CGTGCGGCCCGGTACCAAAGGCCCTGCGGACCGGTACCGGTCCGCGGACCGGCGGTTGGGGACCCCTGGTATACGCGATTGTGCCAGACATGGATCATATCATGATATCTTTCTTGAAAATTACCACAAAAAAAAATGTTCATAATAATAATAATAATAATAATAATAACTGGTGTGTGGTTTTAGGGCAGAGCATCCTTTTCCGCCACTCTCATCACATTGATTGGACTCAGTTGGCTGACCATTGACCGATAGTCTTGAAGTTCGCATTCTTTATTCCACCCTTGTGACTTCAATGAAGTTCAGATCACGTTTTATGACTAATTCCACAGGGTTCACGTACTTTTCAATTTTGAAATAGGTATACATACGTACTACCGTTCGAAATTTGAGTTCCTATCCTTATTTTTAAAAGAAATTCACTGCTGTTGAATCAAGGTCACATCCATCAGAAATACTCTCTAGACATACAAAGCAACCATTTTAAGTCACGACCAATATTTTAAACAGTATTGCATTTATGTGTTTTTGACCGATTATGTCAACTGACCTAAATAAGGATTCCAGCCACCCAAACTTTCTCAACAAATTTCTCGCAAAGATGTCGAGCGTGTTGCAAAAAATGGAGTTGAAAGACACCAATAAAAGCCACCTCGTTCTCCAATCTGATCGGAAGTACTCGTGAGTACAACTGCACTTGAGGCAGTCATAAAAACCCCAGGCATCAATGTCCCCAAATATCAGATATCTGCACACTCAGATGAAGCAATAGCCTAATAATGGAGTTCAAAGTGCCGTCTCAGTCCTCGGTAATAACGCCGCAATGAGCCTGTGTGGCTTTTTTTCCCCTGCATTTGATGGACGTCTCCACGCTTATCAGTGTTCCTTATCTCCCTTCATTATTTCCAAAGCAGTGTTTAAATTGGAAAAGCCCATAAGAACGTGTAAATACATGGCAGAGGCAATAAAACAGTGAGAGAAGACCCCACTCCTCAAAACACACACATACTCACACACAACTATATCCACTTCCCACTACGGCGTTCTCTATGGTTGGAGGTAGATACTGTCTGGAGATAGTTGGTAATATTTCTGCTCCCTCGCAGCCTCATCCTACAGATGAAGATACCGAGCAGCAAATAAATCTCCACGGAGGGAACAAAACCCTTCACGTGCAGTTTAGTGTTGGGTGTGTGTGTGTGTGTGTGTGTTATTGTTTATTAACCAAACGCTTCTATACATACACTTTAAGAGCACACAAGCACTCTTTTGGCCTAAAAGCAGTCATTTCTCAACAAGGTTGGAGAGTCTTTGCAGCCTCCGCTAGTGCATTTGTCTCCCCGAGGCCTTAATTGTTCTTATAAAACGAGGGGGCCCGAATGCCGCTGGCACACTTTGTCTCCCTACTATAACTACTGGAATCATTTGATTTGTTTTAACCGTCGCGTCCAGAACTGAGAGGATTACATGGGATAGTGTGACTTGGTGAAATTCATTGTCTCACCGTTCACCGTCTGGTTGAAGTTCCTGAGCGGAGCAGGACAAAGGTCCGCTCATGAGGTTTTTCAGGGCAGCTGCTCAGCTGTGCATTAGTGCGCGGGGGGGAGAGCCGCCGCGTAACCTGATAAATGCTCTTAAAACAGTGAAGATGGACAATGAGAGGGCGAAATCTCAGACGGTCTGCAGTCGCTGCGCCTGCGAGGCACTTTGACAGCCTATTGATCGGCCGGAGGCAGCAGTGGGCGGGGCCAGAGGTGTGGGATTGACCGCTCATGTGCAGTGCCAGCGGAACAAGTCCTGGAAAGCACATCATGCAATTCATTTTGCAGCGTGTCCACAACGTCTCTATACAATTTCAAAAATAGATTGAAAAAGCTATTTCCCGACTACTTCCTCTCACATTGAAAAAACAGTTTTGAGTTAATTGAAAATTCTAAATCAGGGGTGTCCAATTCCGGTGCTCGAAAGTAGCCATCCAGCCTGTTTTAGATGTCTCACTCGTCCAGTGCAGCTCATTCAAATGATCAGGATTGTCATCAGGCTTCTGCAAAGATGATCTTGAATCAGCTGTTTGTTTGTATACCGTACTAGGATAGGCTTCCGCTCGTCTGCACAGTAAATGTTCTCAAACTCGCATTATGTAAAGTCGATTTTTTTCCCAATTTAAAAGTCCATACAACCCATTCAGAAATATTACTTTGAAACCAACATATATATTTGTGTTTGAAATTTCCGCACTCAAAATGTTCCTAGACAAGAAAATACAGTTTGCTGCTCTACATGTGAATTAAAGAAATAAAAACAGTTGACCATGTAAAAAAAAGAGACAAACAATTGTTCATTCGATACACAGTATTGTCATATTTTTACTGTTTAGCACAACCCTTGTTTCAGGTCCCTGGGATTAACCTGCAAAAGAATTGCAAAAAAAAAAGGCAAAAAATTTAAAAAAAAGAATGTTGCTCCTCAAATGAATTCTTTGAAGATAAAACTTCTCCCGCAAAGAAAAATAAAATATTGAGCCTTGCAGTATCTCTGCGGTATATCGATACCACTGTTTTTCCACCCAGCTCTCCACCCCACTCTGCTTGGCAGCCACGCCCACTTCATTAGTCACTCTGCTCACCTGGGAGCACAGGTGCTTTAAATCAGCAAATAGCCACTCCTGAAGCCTCTCCTGTGATCTCCTGAGAATGACTGTCTGGCAGCAGAATTAAATGCTCTTACACTGGATGTCATAAGGTACAATTACCTGTGTATCAATACAATATATTGCCATTCAGACAACAGAATCATTTCTTAGCTCAATCGGGACAAAACCCATTTCAATAAATGTGTACTTGGTGTGTGTGTGTCTTTTCTTGTATTCTCTTGGGAAGGCTGTTCTTCCGCAACGCACACAAATAATACAGAAATGATGTAATTTACCAGTGACGTGACGTAATGTCTGACAGCTCTGATTGTGGTGTTATTGAACAATAACCAGTTTACTTTATCATGCCTGGGGCTCCAATTTAACAAATGGAGCAATAAATACAGAATATAAAGGAGGGTCTACGCCTCCAAAACAAGGAGGACGCCGTAAGGAGTGGTCACATGAAATTCAGATCAAGGAAAATTATCTGTGTGTGTGTGTGTGTGTGTGTGTGTGTGTGACAGAGAGAGAGAAAGCGAAGGTGTCCCGCAGTCGGTTTATGTGCCAGCAGCTCTCCTGGGCCTCGGCGCTCTCCGTTTTCAAGCTAAGTGTAATTTGAGCGCAGTCTTGATACAAAGTGTGTGCAGCAGCTCTGTTCAAAGCCAATCACTCACCCTGACGTGTAATCCTTTCCCTCAGCATCATCAGTGTTGCTTCAGGAATAATGAAACACACTTAAGGCGACGTGGCAGCCATTGCCGGGAGAGTGGCGTCGCATTTCGATGAGGGGCCTCGAGTCGTAGCTCGAACAACCAGAGGTGTTGGCACCTGTCGATGGATGGAGAACGATTGCCTCTTTGCACTGTATCTGTGACTAATGTATCAATACAGTCAACCCCGGCTATATTGCAGTTCATGGTACGCATCCTTCCTCTATCGTTTTTTTTTTTTTCCTTCACGGGAACCGGCACCACATTTGGCTGTTTCAATTTTCATTATTTCCGCAAAGCAGAGAGAATTATATGCCTGGGAATATTGTGTTCCCTTTGTATGTGTTGCTGCGCCATTTATATTCAAGGAGCAGTTGTTTAAAGATTTATAATTCGCATAACATTTCTCTTAGCCTTTGCCTTTCGTGTTTCACATTATATACCTGAAATTCCATCAATGAAATTATGTGTTTTGGTGAAGCATTTTGATGTTTAAAAATAGATTGTTTCATTCTCTTTTTTTTTTGATGTGTCACTTTAATGCTAAATTTCAGTTGGGAGTGTCAAATATTGTCATTATCTTGATCCAAACAAGCTTCGCCTCTTATGTGGAGAAATGTGTGAGCCCGAGTCTGCTTTGCTTTTGCTCAAAATGATGTGATGTAATAGTCACCTGTTTTTTTTCACAGCTTGAGAATGGAAACAGTTTTTAAGAAATATTTGAGGAATGAAAGTGTGTGCATGAGTTTTTAAATTTTTTTTTTTATGTGATTTCCATGATATGATCTCCCTATAATCGCAGCCTTTCACCTCACCTCACTCTATCAATATGATGTATGCAAGAAAGAAAGAAAAACTAACTTTTTGGGGGCCTCCATTGTCTTTGCCCTCCTCCTTAAACTATCCCTGATGCGTCCATGTTGAGGATTATTGCAATTAATAGGCTCGCAAGACATTATTTCAAAAAGGGAAATTGGCTCATATAATTATATAGAGAAGGGAATACTTGAACTCCCTGGAATATCAGCTCGCTGGAATAATACAGCCCCTCCATTCCCCTCCCCGCCATCATCACGGCTAACATGTCTGTGTGCCTGTTTCCTGTGACGGATGCATTTGCGATGCCTTTGCTGCACTGGCTGATGGTCATTGTGTGGAGGCAATAAAAACGCCTCGTGCCACTTACTGCCACCCATGTCTGATCTGCAGGGATGTGCTCTTGGCTCCTTTTTGTTCTCCTTCTTTGCTCGATTAGCACACCAAAGAAGAATGGCGACACAGGATGATATCCAGCCGTTGGATGATGGTGAAAACACCTGAAATTCACTACATAGATTATACACAGTATGTCACAAATGATAGAAACCATCAATACGACACAAAAAAAAAAAAATGCAAAACAGCGACAACATCTGTGCCATTGCGCTGTTCAGAATGTTGGTCTAGTGAAATAACCAAATCATTTTTCAAAAGTGAATAAAGCGTTTTCACATGTGGGCAGCACGGTGGTCAACTGGTTAGCATGGCCAAGGGGTCAGTACGTCGGCCTCACGGTGTAGAGGTGCAGGGCTCCATTCCGGCTTTGGCCTTCCTGTGTGGAGTTTGCATGTCCTCCCAGTGCCTATGTGGTTTTTCTCTGGATATTCTGGTTTCCTCCCACATTCCAAAAACATGAATGGCAGGTTGCTTGGGCACTCCAAATTGTCACGAGGTGTGATTGTGAGCCCGAATGGTTGTTTGTATGTATGTGCCCTGTGATTGGCTGGCAATCCGTTCAGGGTGTACCCCGTTGCCTGCACGAAGACGCCTGGGATGGGCTTCTCGTACGCCCGCGACCCTTGTGAGGATAAGCGCATTGGAAAATGGATGGATGGATGGATTGTCACATGAGATGCATTTACGCAGATCAGTACAGATGTGTTTTGCGAGTCAATGTTGACAGTAACAAGATTTGCTCTGACCCAAGGCTTGGCAATAACTCAATATCAATATATATCGCGATAGACACCTGAGCAATATCAACAGAAAATGTTTCATGAAATAAATATTGGAATGTAAGCTTGTGTCCTCATGTATGTAAGAGATACGGAACAGGAAGTTGATATTGAAGATGGCCTTATTATTGTATTTGTAAAGGTATTCTCTCGCTTGCATTGAACTAATACACAGTACGCTACTCCACTCAAGTGGTTGATAACTGTCAATCAAAGCAAGAAGTGTGGCACACTTCATCAAAGTAGAAAGTATGAGGCTTGAAAATAGAAAAATGATGCACTATTCTAATTGATCAACACCGACATTAGTATGAAGACTTCTACTGTGTGTGTGTGTGTGTGTGTGTGTGTGTGTGTGTTTGTTCCTAAAAAAGGACAGATATTATGTCATGTCTCCAGAGAAAGAAACTATGGCTTCTGTTCTCTGTTATATCACGTGAATGTGTATTTTGACATTTACTTGTTAAAATGCAAACTTCAGCTATAATAACTCCACCCCCCCCCCCCCCCCCCCCACTTGAGTCTTTCTTTTTCCGTATCCCGTAAAAGGAACAATTTTTTTCCCCTAACACGTTCAACAAAGGCACGGCAATTGAATCTTGGTTGTACGAGAATTCATTTAGCATTTAAGTTATGTTGTTCAAAATGCACAAACACAATCCTGAACCTTCCGTATCATGCTTTGCAACATCATTTGCCAAAGATAATATTTCTAATCCACACCTGCCTACTGAATAAAGGCAAATTACTTTTCCTTCTGACTCCTTTTGAGCTTTTGAGACAACTGGCTGTCGCGTTTGTTCGTGCTATGTGTACTCAGTGCATTGTCTAAAGATATCAAGTTAGAATACAAACAAATGACACTTCAGGGAATATTTAATTCATTGATCCCTTACCTTATTGAAAATCAGAATGGACACATACTGGCGAATGAATGACCAGATCTAACAATTGTACACCATTGCAATGGATATATTTCACACCATAAATACTCAGTAACAGGGAGCAGGGAGTCAAGTCGCCTGCCCCTGTCTGCAGTCCGTCACTGAGAGACCAATCATTACGCACCGTTCAAAAAAGGAAAAAAACAAACATACCCCATCATGGGTGGGGGAGGGTAAGTGCTGGGTGGGGGTCTCACCCAGTGATGACAAAGTCATGTGATCAATGCGAAGCATGCGTTACCTTTACAAACAGATCAGTGAACAATGAATGGAGCGGTCAGTAATTACAGTTCCAAATATATTTGGCAGGAGCGCCGAGGGAGGATAAAAAACATGAATGGCTCAGGTTAGGTCACAGACATGTCAAGATGATCAAAGGGTGCTGAATCAGAGAAATATTGACAATGTGATAATGAGGTAGTAGTCAGCACGGCGCTGCATACTTTATTCTCAATGGTACGTCGGCAACCTACTGCACTGAATGAAGGCTGATATATTTACACACTTAGTTTTTACCGCAAGACATTTTGACGTGAAACAGTGCCGTGAAACCGTGCCGCGTTACAAGGTGGACGGGGAAAAAAAAAGAAGAAAGGAACCCTTTTTTTTTGTTGGCTCATCATCGTTCGCTACAAAAGTTTGTTTGTTTTTTTTTCCTGAAAAAGATTTCCTGTATAATGCAGTTTCATTTCAACAAGCGCAAAGGTTTCTTGTGAGTGGAGCAAACTAAATATAGTTCTTAATCGGATATACAAGTTACATGTCATTGATATGAAGGGTTTCTGGATGTGACTTTATCAGGACTAGAAATTCCCAGAAGTAAAAGCATGTCTGGAACACGGTCTCAATCAGAAGTGGTCCCCATTGTATTGCACAACAGCAAGTGGACTTACGGGGCTCTATTTTCGAGATAAGCACAAACTCGGCGAGGGGCGTATATATATGCATGGATGGATGGATGCTGGTTAGACCCGGTGTTGGTATTTTCGTATATGCGTGCAAGTCGGTGTAAAAAAAAAAAAAAAAAAGGTGATTTGCGGCGTCGCGGGCATGAACACTCCATCAAAGCACCTCCTGTCATTCCCGTTCACTGTTGTGCACACACATCTTGCATGGAGGCAAAATTGTCATTGCTCTTGGCCGGTGTGACAACATAAGCGGTTCGCCTCATTATCTACAGAATGAGCTGGTGATAACCGCGGATGATTTAAGACGTAGTCTGGGAAGGCGGAACTTCAGATTGAATTTCTCCCACCGAATTGTCATTCCGCCGGGCATATCTTCTCTACGCTAGAACGACCAGCTTCGTGCAAACAGGTCTGCCATATTGACAAAAAACAGGATACGCGAGCATTTCCGCCGTCTACGAAAATAGAGCCCAGTGTCAGATCACAATATAACTGGGAGGTTTATTTGCAAAGAGAGAGCGATTTGCCTTCATAAGATCGACCCTAGGGCGTTGCGAAACCTAGGCAGGTGCTGGCCATTCCTACCGTGAACACGACGGTGATGGTCTCAACTACTTTGATCAAAGTATCATATTTTCGTGACGGCACCGCCATTTCTCACACCACATAAAAACCTTCAGTAGTATAAACGTGAACGTCTCACAAGTGAGCTGGACCGAATGGGAGTGGAGCTCTCAGACAGTGTAATGGACATGGAGTTAAAGGGAGCCTAAGATCTTTCTCCCAGCAGGGATCACACCTTGTCGTGACACATTGTTGGCTCGATGTTACCCTCTGGCGCATGCTGACACTTTGTTTCTTGCATAGCTCGGCCATCCCGCTCGCATAGCAAGCTGCTGTGGGCCATGGTGTCGTTCAGCACCAGCCACTGTCGTTGGTGAAAGTACGCGGTGGCCACAGGTGGCGCTCTTTGGCCATGTGTACCACGCGGTTCTGTGGTCGAGAACAGTAGTTCCAGACATTTCACTTCAGCACACAACTTTCTGTAGGAGCAGAGCAATGAGAGCAGAGCTGCCTGGACTGACTGTAGTTGAAATCACATTTGGCACGTGGTTGGCTAGCTGCGGTGCCACCACGTGGTTGGATGGCCCGTTCGTTTAAACGTATGGCGGTACCTGTCACAGTTTATATGTTGCCAGGTCATTCATTACTTCTGTTTGCAAATTCTTGAGCAATTTCTCCTCGGTTAAGTTTATCAGGATAAGCGGTTCGGAGAACAAGTGGATCAATTCTGTCTTTGTGCATGTGAAGAATTAAGACTTTGTTGTTAAGATTGTTTTCCAAGTCATTGTACTTCTTATGACCTGAATGAACGAGCCATCCATCAGCGGTCAATTTTCGCACGATTCAATATGCAAAATGGTGTCGACCGTCGTGATAACTGAGTACTCAAATGAGCTGTTGGATGGCAAAATGGTACACGAGAAAAAGTAACAAGTGCCAAAGAAAAAGAAGAATCACTTAGTAATTCAATCTGAGCTAAACGTTGATCTTTAAGTTGGCTCTCTTCATTCTCGTATTCATGAGTGTGTGGGGCAAGTTTGGCATGTGTGTATTTTTATGACATGACTGTGTATGGTATGATAAACAATGACTTTTCAGCCATATTCGCTGCATGGCAAGGTTGACCTGGCAACTTGTAAGTTGTGGAAGGTGCAAGTAGAGTGTAACATTCTGGTGTGTGTGTGTGTGTGTGTGTGTGTGTGTGTGTGTGTGTGTGTGTGTGTGTGTGTGTGTGCACGTGCGCGTGCATGTGCATACACGCATATCAACTTACTGCCACCCCTATGTTAGTCATGGTCTCACCCTGGCCAGCCCAATGAAAACTTTCTGGCCACGCCACTGCCCACCATGTCAACATGATGGTCAAAATGTGGTCCACGTGCCCGCCGCCACTCAGACAACAACCTCCCGCAGGGTTAAATATAAACCCGTTGTGAAGCGCCTCTGCACCTGCCATTTACCTTGGTCTGCTCCAGGCTATATAAATGCCGACATAGCTATTTAAAGACAGAAGGTGTCTAAGATGGTGAGAGCAGATGCTGGCCACCTTGCTCCTAGCGTATGGGATGACTCTGCCGCCGGCTTAAAGGGTTCCAAAATAGAGCGCTTTGACATATGGGCCTCTGATTGTTTGAACATGGAATCTCCTGGACTCGCGCCACTCCGTAGAAAGCCTTTGATAGTGATGATCGGCTTTCACCTATAACCTCCGGTTGGCTCGGCCCATTTCCACAGGCTTAAAAAGGACACGTTTGGGGCTCGATGGCTTACGCGAGGTACGGTACAAGAGAGAAGAGAAACATTGTGTGTGTGTGTGTGTGTGTGTGTGTGTGTGTGTGTGTGTGTGTATGTGCGATGGAACTGAGCGAGCAAGCAGGCACGGCCTTGTGGCAACAGCAGCATTAAACGTAGCGCATGAAAGATGAAGGTTGAGCCTGACATTCCCACACCGTCATTTATTGCTGAACTACAGAAGAAGACTACCGACTAGTGTAACTGCCTATTGCAAGTTTGGTTAAACAAGCCTTCCACTGTGAGACGGATCAGATCACACTGCTCTCGAGAGGTACTGTACTGTATGTCCGAGGACGTTTGAGCAGTTAACAGTTCACATTTAAGCAGCTCTTTTTTTTTTTTTCCTCCCCTCCCTGCGTACAGGGGGCGGGGGCGAGAGAAAATGGCCACCGATATCAACAGACTTTAAACTGTACACCCAGTCTTCCAGTAATAAACATATACATGTCCCAGACAGAAACACACTGTTGAAAGTGTTGGCGTTGTTCACACCTCTGTCGTCTTCAGAATAAATTCAATGAACGAAAGACTTTTCTTGTTACTGGCATCTACTTATTCTGAAGATGCTGAGGGAGACCTGGGAGCATGACCATCAACAATTAACAAAAGAACTTGTTACTGTACATAGTACTTTGTATATATATTTTACATTAATCTTCATCATTCTTATATTTATATTAATACCCAAGTTTTTTTTTTGTTTTGTTTTTTTAACATGGTGTCCAAGTGTTGCAGAAGGAGTGAGGTCAGTCTGAGTGCTGCCTCGCCAAGCTGAGGTCTCCCCGCCCCCCTCCCCTCCCCCTTGCGAGCACCCTCTAAATCTTGCTTCCAAAAAGTCTCACGGTACAGCACTAAAGCAGCTCCAAGAATCAGACCTTGGCCTCCAGCATCTCCAGGAACAGTTTGTGCATGGGCACCTTGCCCTGCACCTTGATGCTATAAAAGTGCTGCACGGCCTTGGTGGCCGTCTGCCGCAGCAAGGGCAGGGTCATGAGCAGTTTTCCCGCCCGCCGCGGGTCCTCCGGGTGCTGGCTGCTCTCGTAGTCCTGCAGGGCCTCGTGCAGAGCGTCCTGCAGCTTCTGGACCGCCTCCATATCCTCTATGTGCATGGAGTCTATTCAGAGGGAACAAGATTGAAGAAGAGTAAGAAATGTGCCGTTCACTTGAACACGCCTATATCAACGGGAGGGAGGTGGATTTTTGAAAATTAAACCTCGTGATTGATATGAAGTGCTATCAGAGCAGTGAGGTGAGGTAGGGAACACGTTATCAGTATATTTCAACCACAGACAGGACAAAGAATGGATCATAAAAAAAAACAACAACGTGTGCTTTGTTTTATTTATTTCCTTCCACTCTTTGCGGTGCTGCGCAGCTTATTAAAACGGCCTTTGACCGCCCACACTGAAAATCAATGTTATCCCGCAGTAACAATGGCATGAATCGTGGGCTGATAGCGCACATTAAAAACCCCGTTTGGGAAAGACAGACAATTATTAGGAGATAAAATGGGGGCTCCATTAGAGAATTGGGCGCCATAAGCAAGTCTGTGATGAATGTGACACAATTAATTTTCCTGCCTACTTACTTTTTATGTAACAAGGGAAAAAACTTATTTCTTGTACATAATTCAACAATGCTGATTTGAATGTGTACTTGCCTAGTCTTTTTCAAGATTACTCTACAATGCTCTTCTAGATAAGCCAAGCCCAATTTCAAAGTAGTGAACTGATCGTGACAAATAAACAGCTAGAAGGAAGCACACTTCGCATCATCACTCGAGGATTGTATTAAGTGAGAGTGTGAGAACTTCATACTTAAAAAGTGTGTTTTAATATGTTACGGTGTGTATTAAATAAATGTCAATGTATTTCAAGAAGCAGGCTCAAACTTGTGGCCCGGGGCCATTTGTGGCCCGCATGCTGATGTTTCGTGGCCTCCTACTTGACTTCAAATTTTAACCCTTTCAGGGACAGCGGTTACTACAGAGGACAGTTTATCATGTTATCAGGCTGCAGGGTGCATGAAAAGGTTAATGTAAGTCGGGCCCCACATTTTTTGCCATAGAAGTTTTGTGTGTGTGTGTGTGTTTCAGGCACAACCTTTTCCAAAACCTGCCGTGGAGAGAAAAGTTGGCAACGAAAACTGACAATTTCCAGAAAAAGAGTAGAGGGAATGTCTCTGTTGAGCACGGGGGTCACCCCAACATGTCTTGAATGCACAGAGAAAGTTACAGTGCTCAAGAAATCAGACGCCATTACTCAACTGGTTATGCTGAGGAGCATGCAAAGTCCAAGGGAGGTGATAGTGAGGACCAGGTCACATACCTTGTTCATATTCCGAAGAACCGTTAATGTTCGAACTGTTCATTAAACCGAGTGTGAGACCCCTTGGTTGAAGCATATGCAATGGGTAAAACCATTAAAAAAAAACCCCATATCTTTCTTTTATACGGTCTGCCTAAATCGCGGCTTTTCACCTATTGTTTGTGGGTCTGCAAGGTATCCCCTGCGATAAACAAGGGTTTCACTGTACTCACTCAAACTTGGACTCAGTTTTTATTGGACTTAATTTGGGTCATATCTGAGTCGACCACCTGTGCAGTCTTGAGTTCAAGTACATGTCTACGGCATCATGTTACACGCTTCTCTCTCATTGTCGCCTTTTGCTCCGTTGCTATCAGCCCCGCTCTCTCAGAGAGACTCGGCGGCGGCACGTCTCTCACTGGGCTAACCGTTGTCTGACACCCCAGAGGCGGCGAGTCATTGGCCACCTCACGTGTCTCACCTTGGCGACATGCGGTTTTGGCCACTTGGGACGCTCAAAGGCAAAACAGATTTTTGAAGCAGGACCCGTATTCATTGACTGGAACAAGTGTATTCCCAAAACCTTGAGACATTTTTCACTCTGACGGCTTTCAAGCCCACAGTGGTGAAATGAAGTAGGTCGTTTGGAAAAGGCAAGGGAGAGGGAGAGGAGACAAGAACATAATTATCTTTTGTTAGATTTCCACTGAAATAGAAAACAGAACCCTACTGAGTATTTTTACTAATAAGAGGTCCACCCCCACCCCGCCACCCGCATTAAACTAAAGTCGCACACACATTTACACCCTCATTTAATGAGACTATACGGCAGCATGTGAGGTAACAAGTATAGGAATTCTCCAATGCTTAATCATTAAAGATGGATTTTCCAACTTCCATTTCCGTAAATTACAAGGTATATTATGTTGTTTAAGAGCACAATTATTCAGTTTTGCTGATTCGTTCTAAGTGTTTGGAAACTCTTTTATGATATCATTTAATTATTGAGGGGTCATAATGTAACTGGGACATCCTTGGAAGAATAACAAAAAAAAAATAAAAATGCGGGGTGATGTCAAAGATACCAACAAGGGAAGAAGGAGCGAGCAGCCTGTAACGTTTGGAGGAGGGACGGACTTAAAAAAAAAAAACACTTTGAAGAAACAATTTCCTTGCAATCTATCAGAAAGCCCACATCGATGTGATTGATAAACTGCTAATTACAAAATCAATGGCCATGAATTTTCACAGCTGTCAAACGGGGGTTTGGGGGGGAGGGGGGTCCCTGGAGAATGATTTCCCAGAGACCTTGTTGTAACCTGGCGGACTCCCTCCTCCTCCCCACCGAGCCCACCGCATGACCGACGCTCTCTGCTGTCTCAAAGCAAATAGCTTGCATCAGCATTTTCATTTTTCAACCTGGACAAAACAAAAGGGGGAGCGGCCTGGTGACCCGGCGTGCATTGATCAGAGAGGGGGTGCGGCTGAGGGTGGGTCGGTGGGGACAGGTCCTGCCTCCTCAAAAGGATCCTGTCGATAGCAGCGTGCCGTCTTTGCATTGGAACAAACGAGCTCTATCCCGGCCTGATACTCATTCCATTCGACTTAACACATTTTATTGACAGCCACTGTGCTCCTAATGAAATGCTAAATTTATCTCCAGCGGCTGCTGTGGCCTGCGGCTACTGTTATGGAAATAGCGGAGGAGAAATACCACAACTCACAAGGTGTTCAATTAAAAAAAGCTCCCTCCATTCCGTGCCTCTTTCTCGTTGCGTTGCCCTTATCTTCTCCCCATCTGTGCGGCTCACGCTCTAAACTAAAGGTTACACGCTAGAAGTCCTGCAAAAGTGAGAAATGTCATCTAGGAAACTGTTGGCCAATATCTCAGTTTCATCGTGTGGTCAGCATATTCACTGGCCAAATAGGAAAAGTTTCAAATCAAGCAAACACTTGATGGAAAATACACTGAAGGGCAAGTTTTTTTGAATATCGTATGGTGTAATAAAAAAGTCAAATACAAAAATGTTAGGATTACAAAATTAATTCAAACCTCGATAGTGTAATTTTTTAAATTTGAAAATAATAGAATAAATGTACACTATTAAAAATAGTGTGTGTGCGTGTGTGTGTGTGTGTGTGTGTGTGTGTGTGTGTGTGTGTGTGTGCCTGCGTGCGTGCGTGCGTGCGTGTGTGTGTGCGCGGGCGCAAGCGTGTGTAATTGAACAAAAATGGTGACATAAAATGTCAAATCAACAAACAAGTGACAAAACGGAAACATTATTTCCAGCAATTATAAATCTATAATCTATAAATCTTCTAAAAAAAATGGATATAAAATCCAAATGATTTTATTGCGTGCAGCCACTTGACACAATACATTTGAGTAAAAGTGTTTTCTTTTTAAAAATCTGATTCAAAATAGTACAAAACGTAAAATACACATTACCAAAGACGCATGTTCGATTTGGTTTGCTAAAAATGAAATCCTAATGAACAATGTGTGCACGTCTCACCTGAGTTGGCGAGAGCGATGGCCTTGAGTGTGACAAACTCCTCCTTTTCCACTTTGAGCTTCTTGCATTTGCGGACCAGCTGCAGGATGGACACGTAGAGGTCGAGCAGGCCCGTCAGCCGCGAGTGCTCCTCGTCCATGATGTAGTCCTCGGCGTATACCAGCTCGTCCTCGTAGGGCAGAGAGCGGAACACGATGCTCAGGATGAGGATCTCCATCCAGGCGCTCTGCAGCAGACTCATCTGGTCTCCCAGAGACAAGGTGGAAAATCCTGGAAGGTCAGGGAACAAATACATTTTGAGCTACAAAGGTGCTCAGTCGAACGCAACCTCTGCCGTTTCGTGTGGCAGCGAACTGCAGACACAAAAGTATTGAACCCCTGCAGTATATCTGAACTCCTGTCATGAGAATAATGCGTTATTCACCGACAAATTCATCAAAATGCAAAAATTACAATTCAAATGAGCACAATGTCATACAAAAATTCTCCATTGTAGGAATTCAGGACAAGCTTAGTGCAACAGTGACGTACAAAAAGTGGGGGCCGGTGAAGGAGGAGGGGGGCTCTGTGCCTTGATCCAGACCAGCAATAGAAGTTAATAAGCTTTTGGAAAATTCTAAGCTGGTTCTTTTTACTGTTGATCAATTAACTCACGCTAAACAAACTAATTGGCGGCTCGGTAGTCGACTGGTTAGCATGTTGGCCTCAGAGTGCACAAGTGCAGGGTTCGATTCCGGCTACGGCCTTCCCGTGTGGAGTTTACATGTTCTCCCCGGGCCTGCGCGGGTTTCCTCCGGGTTCTCCAGTTTCCTCCCACATTTCAAAAACATGCATGGCAGGCTGATTGAACACTCTAAATTGTCCCTAGGTGTGAGTGTGAACATGGGTGGTTGTTCGTTTCTGTGTGCCCCGCGATTGGCTGGCAACCGGTTCAGGGTGTACCTCGCCTACTGCCCAAAGACAGCTGGGATAGGCTCCGGCACGCCCCACGACCCTTGTGAGGATAAAGCGGATCAGAAAATGAATGGATGGATGGATCAACAAACTAAAAAGTCGGAAGCGTGAAGACCATACCCTCCAAGGCCAAACTATTGCCACTTGTATCAGCACAAAATGACACATCTTCAGGTCCTTTATGTAATTGTTAAAATGTTTTCAATACATTTTTATCGGCCCATTTATCATTCCTCCATAGTTTTGTGGACATTGAATAAAGAGATTGTTACCTTACAGGTATAATCATGAAAACAAAATGTCTTGGTGCAAGTCAACATTTGTTTTTTTCTCATGATGAAATACTTTTTCTCAAGAATTTGTCATTCCGAAATTTGAGATGAGCACAAGTGCATCGAGAGGAACTCACTGGAAAGCACTGCTTCAATTTAAATGCACACAGGAAGGTCCTGTTTAAAGCAGGTGTCAGGGTGCTTGAGTGGGCTTTACCGTGGGCGACGACAGTAAATCGGTGCAAAGGTCTGGGATGCACAAAGCCAGGTGGTTACCCCTTGCATCCTGTCATACTTGTGCTGGTGAGCCGAGGATTAGCGCTGGGACGAGGTCCCGTTGCAGAGGTTGAGGACATGACACACACATGGCGTTTAGGAGGAACAAGGTGATGAGGGAGCACGTGCACGCAAAGCTTAAAAAGTTACGCAAACAGATGTCACCCGGGAAGGGAGAAGCACGGGCAGCGCAGGCCTGCCAGAGTGCGTGCACAGAAGCACGCACGCACGCAGAAAGTGTAGCAGTGCAGTCAAAGGCAAAATCAAGGCAAATCAAAGGCTTCCACTGCAATAGCAGGGTGGGCTCAAATAGCCAAACGGGCGCCAAAGCACTCAGTCACAACTATTGAACATAAAGTTGCTTTGTGAGAAATTCAAAAGAATTTAAAAAAAAAGTGCTCGTCTAAAAAGAGAAAGATCTTTGTGTCTATTTCCCTGGATGCTAGGCAGCCATAAAGTGTCAAGGCTACACCCGCCGTGAACGCCACCCTTTCCCTCCCTCCGCCTCTTGTGCCTGCAGGCGGCCCATTCTGACAGCATATTAGGTTCTCCAGCTCCACGAATGATTAACATGATTGCTTTTACAAAGTTCGCTGTTGCCATGCCACCTGCCACTGCGTGATTAAGAGGCGATAGATTACAGTATTGACCCGGCCTGCTCAACACATCTATGCCCTGCGTTTTCTCTGAAAAACAAATGACCACATTTGGGGGCCGCCACCAGCCTCCGTGTTTATCTGCTTCTGCCCGGGACAACAATATCCCCCCCCCCACACACACACACACGCACGCACACACACACACCAGTTGTGCCACAGAAAAGGGGTGCTGTGAAAAATTGATTACGGTTGAAAATAACATCCGTCCATTTTCATCACTGCTTATCCTGAACAGCGTTTCAGGATGGTGCTGAGGCTATCCCAGCTGATTTCGGGTGGAAGGCAGACTACATCCCGAACTGGTCACCAGTCAGTCACAGGGCACGTCGTCCCTGAGTGGGAACCGATCCCGCGCTGCCCGCACACAAGTCAACAAGTGTACCACGACGCCACCAGCGACTTTGCTAATAACACGAATTAAAAGCCATGATGTGGAAGCAGCAGAAAAAGGAACCAGAACCCGGCAAAATGGTACCTGTGTTCAATTCCCCTTATCGTGGTGATGACCACTGCAGGGGGAGAGCTGCAGGATACATTAATTAAGAGATTGTGATCAGAATGTGCGGGCCTTCACATTTTGAAGGGGAATCAATAGTCGGTAGAATAGAGTGCTAACAGTCCGGCAGGACTGGTCAGAAGGCTGGAGAATTTGGACCACACAAACAACTGCCGAAAGCACTCAAAGCGCGTCACTATTATCAGTGGGCGCAATAAAGCATAGTTTGCAAAAGTCTACGCCATTAAACTTACTTGGGGTAAATGTTCAAATGCTTTGTTGTGTTATTTCCTTGTCTGCATACGTGTCCATTAAGTTGGACAGAATGCGGACTGGCCAGAGTGAAACTGTCATCCGAGCACGGGCGCCTTCTTGATTGCCACATCAGGTTGGCATCGCAATCACTGGCAAAGCTCCGTCGAGGCTTTTAATGGCAAAGAGGGCTGAAGCGGAACTAAAGCGGCGCTCCCAATGTGACAGCTCGTGTGAAGGCCTCGTCCGGGTCTTGCTGAAGAGGCTTTAGAGTTGCTCTGATACAGCGCACAGCCCTCAGCCATACGCACACAGCCCAGCAGCCTACAATTACCTTTGACGCTAAAAGTCCTTAAATTTAATCCGCTGTTGTGAGATGGAGAGGCGGTGTTTTCCCCCGCTGCTCCATCCCTTCTCTTCAGGGCTGAAATTATCGCTCCAAATGGGATCTCGTGTCGTTGCCTTTCCTTTTTCCACTCAATTTAATCGAGTAATGAAGTGACTTCCCGACTCCGCAGGTCACAATGCGCTCCGGCCGCCGTGCTGTGAAGGTGGCCGGGTTAAGTGCCGCCAGAGTAGGTGATTTCCTCTAATGAAATATCAATATTTACATCTTCATTTCCAGTCAACGGCCAATGGTGGGGTTTGACCAAACATGACACGATATTGACCAAATCAGAGAGGCCTGTCTGCACACTTGAAGGCCCTTTTCCACTCCACCGCTGAGTGCATTTTAACGTCCCGCATCGCCCAAAATAATAATGGTAATAACAAAGCTCAGCTTTATCTTGTGCATTTAGCTCCGAAATGGATTTTCATTTTGAAGATTACAGGATGTAACGCGTGTTCATGACTGCCACTGACATATTCGCTTCCATCGAGTTTCAAAAGGTTTGCAAGCTGACAGAGTTAAACTGCATCTTTGCTCAAAAGGCTGAAGGATAAGAGCAGCATCGACAGAAGCCAAAACCATCATCGCTGCTTTTATCTCGCCGGTGGGCTCTCAACAGGAGGGGGCAGGCAAAACCCACAGACGGCCATCTCGAACCTCTCAGAGATTAATCAGACGACTGGATGGTCCAAAAATGAAATGCTGGAGATTTCTGTTGAGCTGGAGTTCATATTCTATTAATTTATTATTGTTTCCCTCTCCCCGAGGGCCATTAGCGCGGGTAATAAAAAGAGATGTAATTACGAGGCATGGTGGCCCCCTCCAGCTGCAGCCCCCTCGTAACTCACCCTCAATCAGACAACAGAGAGGAGCGAGCGAGGGAGCGGAGAGAAAAAAATGGCAGCAGAGAAAGGGAGTGAACTGGAGGATAAAAGAGAGGAGAAGATACAGGGTAGGGAGGAGGCAGATAAGGACGAGGGAAAAGGAGTGAGAGCATAAAGTGAAAGGGGACCAGAGAGCAGGTTGGGCGAAGGGGGGGGGGACGGAGATAGACAGTCATTGTGGCTGGACGCAGGCGGATCTATCATAGCCAGCTATCAGAAGGACAAGCAGGCCCTGAAGACTTGTGCCCGGCAGCAATCTCACCTCAGCCAAGGCAAGTGCTCTCTGGGCTCCAGTTGGAGTCAAACTGCCTCTAACTGGGCTCCAGCCGTCCTGCACATCATTTTTTTCACCACTATACCCTCCAACTGAACAGAGGGATCCTGCTGCGAGACGCTTAGCTTATATCAAAGTTTGCCATTTCAGATGACGCTTAAAAAAAAAAAAAAAAAAAAATTAAAAACTCTGATCTGGCAGAGTGCGGCGGAAGATGTATAACTAGTGGCAGTGATCATACGAGCGTGTGAACCATGATTCTTCTTGAATTAACATGGCAACATCTGGATCAACAGCAACCTGGTAATAAAATGTGGCGGTTGACACGGATAATTTTACCTCCAGTGGACACGCATAAATGTTCAACAAGCATTCCCGACACACGAAAGCTTTTACCATATTGGATGCAATTGATGCCAGCTTTCTACCTTCTTTCAAGACGATAACCATGCCATTATCCCATCAAAGAATGGGTGATTTGACCAGTGATTGGGTTCCATCCATCCATCCATTTTCTGAACCACTTTATCCTCACAAGGGTCGCGGGGGGTGCTAGAGCCTATCCCAGCTGTCTTCGGGCAGTAGGCGGGGAACACCCTGAACCGGTTGCCAGCCAACCGCAAGGCATACAGAGACGAACAACCATCCACGCTCACACTCACACCTGGGGACAATTTACAGTGTTCAATCAGCCTGCCATGCATGTTTTTGGAATGTGAGAGGAAACTGGAGTACCCGGAGAAAACCCACGCAGGCAACGGGAGAACATGCAAGGTCCACACAGGAAGGTCGGAGCCGGGATCAAAGCCACGCCCTCTGCACTGTGAGGTCAACACGCTAACCACTTGACCACCAGGCCGCCACTTAGTTTGTTTAGTGTGAGTTGATTGATCAATAGTAAAAAGAACAAGCTAACCATTTTACAAAAGCTTATTAAATTCTATTGCTGGTCTGCACAAAGATACAGAGACTCTCTCTTTCACCGGCCCCCCACTTTCTGTAATGCTAATCTTATAGTTGATTATTTTGCCGGGCTGCCCACATTATTGGGTTGAATAATGTTAAATACATTAATCCCCTTGTTTTAGTCCGCACCCCATGACCTACTGACCCCAAAATTGAAAAACTTTTCGTCTTCCCCAGGGTTCCAATGTTCAATCCCAACATTAGATATTGCTGTCCGCGCCAAAAAAAAAAAAAAAGCTTTTAATCATTGTCATAATTACACATAATTTATCTTTGCAGCCATGGAGTGGCAAAGCCTAATGAGGGGTGAAGCGGTGTTGATGGTCTCTTAAAGGCATACTGCCACCATCACAGGGATTTCTGACTGCATTTTAGTTTTACACTGAATGATCCTAAAATTAGAATGGGGAAACGATATAAAAAAGTAAGAATTTGAAAAGAGGGCAAATACTTTTTCACGGCACGCTACTGTATCTGTTCAAGTGGATGATGGAATTGGGTCACACGTCTATTAGAGCGGAAACCACCATTTGAGGTAAAACAGTCCCAAGTATTGAGTTTCAACTGTGAGGTTTGTATGGATGGATATATAAAACATGCGTTGTGTGACATCAAAATTAATATTTTCCAGTTGTCATTATGATGGGGGAATGCACCTGCTTATGTGTGACAGAAACCGCTCAACAAAGCCCTCCCCGATTCCACCTGGCAGACCTCCCCATCCTGGCGCTAGATCCTCCTCACTGTCTGCCTGTCTCTGATACGCTGTGTCCCATCTCAATCTCCCTGTAGCTTTTCCACCTTCCACCAGCCCTTTTCCTGTTCAGGTTCAGCCCTCAGCATGCACCTGATTGCTCAATCTATCTTTATCTCCTGTGTAGAAGCTTACGTCAGAGGGTAAATTGAATATACTAAGAGCCGTCTGTAGATGTCTATATTTAATAAAGTGAACTGATGAGGTGCTGATTTATTGCTGGCCAGTATTCACACTCTATTACAAGGAGATTACGAAGCTTGAGTGGGATCAGGCTGGCAACTCCGTAAGTAGATTTCACAATTTAATGGCAAAGAGAAAACAAGCGCCTTGGGGGGGGGCGAAGGCGGGATTGGTGTTTAGTCTTGGTGGAGGGCTGATGCTAATACGACAACTTATAAAACGACATCTCTGTTGTCTGCATGTTAACAACTAACATGCCAGACGCCTGCCAGTCAAATGAAGAGCTGATGAGCTGACATCCAAGAGAGCAGGACGAGAACAAAACAAACAAGACCGAATCATTAGAATTTTCTGTAATTCTAATACGAACATGCAATTAACCCTTTCATGTACCTGTAACCTGATAACATGGTAAGGTGTCCACTGTAGTAGCCGCTATCCTTGAAAGGGTTAAATGCTATATGAGGAGGAAAATATTTTTTCAGGCAATATCAGCCTGATGCGTCAATATATAATTGTGTGTTTCATATACTGGATCAAAAATACATTTTATTGTCTAGGAGCGAGGCAGCGGCTGCAGCAGAGTGTCAATGTTTGCTTGGCCTATGAGCCTTCTGTGAATTCCCATCTGAAAACACTCCAGCCGCAGAAGCTGGGTTGGGAATCGGCAAACACCAAACAACAAGCCCCTTCTGTATATGTTGCATGCATCGCGGCTTTTACATATGAGCACATGACATTCCCACTGTGGGTGGGAAAGAATTCAGGGTGGAACTTGAGGTGGGTGGAGTGAGGTGTGTGTGTATGTGTGTGTGTGTGTGGGGGGGGGCGGTCACTATCGCCTACCGTCACTCCTGAAGAAGACGGCAATGTCAAAGTAGTAAACAGCTTCCACCACACTGTGGCTGCCAATATACCAAGTACTCAGCTACATTAAACCTCTTGGACAATGTGAAATGCAGCTTTATGGGATGCAAGGGGACAAGACGTGTGGCTAGTGGACGACTATGTATGTCAAAGGTTGTTAGCACCTATAGGAGCAAGTAGCCATCTGTCAGCATCCCCCCCCCCACCTCCCAAACACTGCTACTAATGACCCTGTCACCCATAGGCAACAGCCGTGTTACACTCTTTTGCGTGGTGGTATTTGAAGCCGTGACACTCGTGACAAGAATATCCACAGTGATTATCAGTTAATCAAATACACGCCGAATGGTGATGTGCTTCTCGATTGCACCCTGCTTCAATATTGGGTCGTGTTATGCTTAGCTGATAGAAATGAGACTTTAAATGCACATTGATCTCTGTGTTAAAGTAAAACAAAACAGAAAAAAAAATTGCACCCACACTCTAACTAACACCGGGCAGGTGTGTAGGGGCGGAGGAGCTCACAGAGGTAAGGTGGGGCGAGGCCATTCAAAGATTTGAAAACAAATAATAGGATCTTAAAAAGAAGTGTTTTTCCAGTGCAGGAAAAGGTAATATATAACCTCATGATAAAATGTATATATCCTCTCTTCTGCTGCTCATTACACGTGCTTAATTCAACGTAAAAAAAAAAAAAATACTGTTGGAAAGGCTGAGTACCCGGTTTCATGAGTTTTAAATTGTTACATTTGGACTTTAGTTATTGGCCCATCTGTCAGTGGTCTAATCAATGTGGTCTAGTTCATAATGAACTGTTAATCTTTTTAATTCCATTGCCTACGGCGTCAGAAATCTATCAGAATGCAATCACCCACATGCCCCCCTTTCTTTTTTTTTTTTCTTTTTTGTCCCGCAGCTCACTGCAAACGCATGGTACACTACCCTGAGGTTGCTTTGGTGCATGGAGAGTTAGAGCATGGAGTGGCAAAACCACTGAACCGTCTCTGATCAGGTTCAGCCATGTACAACTCAATTATGCTGCTATTTCATGGCCAGAGGACACCCACTGTGCTAATACAGACGCCACCAATGTGGCAGACAAAGCACTCAGCTACCAGTCATCTGTATTTTGCCAACTTGTGTGTAAATAATGATAGATACTGTTACAAGCAAGCCCATATAAAACAGGAGTAAGCCAGTTATTTGAAAACAGATGAGCATAATCTACTTAAGATAGTATAATACTGCAGGTACTGCACCTTGTTTCGCAGAAGACACTCTGGCTTACTGCCTTAGGTTTTGGGTTAAATGATCATTACCGCCGCATTTGGAATGACACAAATCCCATTACCATTATGCATTTATGCAATGCACAATATGTGTTAGTATAATCTGATTATCACAACACACTTTTAAGACCGTCATGTGAAATATAACATAATCAGTAGTCGGGTCAGTTTTTCGTGTTTTTATAAAATACTAAATCAGTGACTTAGGCCATTATTGTTTGAAGGTAGCGCTATGATGCAGGTTTAAGTTTAGCGGCAACTTTTGGGTATTGGACAATGAGAGTGTGTGTCACCGGGTCACCTGAGTTCCAGTCCTGAGTAAGCTTCTTGGTTAAACTCTCAGTCTGCTGACCGTGCACGGTGCATGGTGAGTTATCCAAACAGTTGAGATGCATAATGGGCCACAGCTGAGGCCAGGCGCCATGAGCATAGCCAGTGCTAATCTCCTTACTATCAGATCTGTACCTGATTAAAACCCTACCTTCTTAGAAGTACCCGGAGACCTTTTCAGCACAAAATGCACCTGCCTTAACTGACTTGACTTGGATGAAAAGAAATATATTGCAATTGAAATGGTCTCTCTTCACCTCATCACGTCAGTGCTGTGCTTGTTCGGGTTGTGCAACTGAGAAGAGGTTATGGAAGTGGCAGAGAAGCATACATTTATTTCGTGTTTTTATCCCCTCTAAAACACCATAGTGATGTTATGGAGTTATGGGGGCCAAGCTCAAGATCAAGAAGAATCTGCCTTGGTGGCAAAAAAAAGGGGGCTAAACAATGTGCTCTTTGTCAAAATCAGAGCACAACTCACAGAGGAAGCAAAATCTCTGCTGACGTGAGGTGCGTTATGCCCTTAATTCAGCAAACAGGCTCTTATAACCTAATACCTCGTCTATCAGAATGTGTATGGGCTGAGGAGGAAACACGATTATACCCATCAATAATTCAACGAGTATGTGCGCCATTGCTAAGTGCGCATTCACGTGTGCATATGTGGGTGTCTGCATGTGATATGATGTGTTGTTTGAGTGGGCAAGACTCCAACTTTACTCTCCCTTGTCATCATAGCACGCATTGGAAGCAGGTCAGTGTGTTCCCCTCTCCATTCAGTGACAGGATTTTAGATGCACTCTATTGATTTGTTTCTTGCACAGCTATGTCCATTTCGCACCCCCTCCGTGCCACACGCCCTGTGGCATTGTGAGCTTCTGTCATTAATTATCGGTGAGAAAGTGCGTGCGCGTTATATCCGCAAAGCATCAAAAAGAGCAGAGAAAGACAATCGGAAAAAAGTCAGGCAGCGCAGAGAAGTTAAATAGCAGAAACAAAAGATGACACCTGGGATGTGCTTGGCCCAGCCGATGATGACGACCAGCTCGCGGTCAGCCAGGTCGCACAGTGTGGTAAGAGCCTTTATGTCGCTCTCCGGCATGGTGGGGTCAGGCATTGCGTAGATTTTCTCTGGCTCTGCCACCAAAAGGTGAGATACTATCTTCGTGACTGAGGGTAGAGGAGAAAAGGAGGGCAGACAAAGCAAAATAGATGTTAAATGTCTTATCCCCCCCAAAAATCTCCATGATCTGAAACAAATCCTTTGGATAGATTTCGTATGGCATCCAATGAAAGCTTTAAAATCTCTTTTGCAACATAATAGATATCTGTGTGCAAATATGGGACACTCTTGTCTGAGAGCTCCTGAATAATACCAGCCCACAGACTTGCCCAAACATAAGACAGACGGGGGTAATGTTATTGAGCCTCAACTTTCGCTTAACCTTTACCTGATTGCTTGCCCGGCAGAGGAGGCGCGACGGAGATGGGAGACAATGGGCTAGTGACGGGGCAGTACTCACGAGGCTTTTTGGTAGGAGGGGGGAGCGCCAAACCCAGGTATGGGTTGTTTTCTGTGTCCAACCTCCTCTTGTATTTTTGTCTGCCCCCTCGAACTCGGTCCAAGCGTACCCCTATAGAGGACAAATTGAGAAGAACACAAAATGGAGGCAATCAGCATCAAGCGCATTCACAGAAAATATTGGTTAAAAAAAAAAAAAAAAAGATGGTGTTTGGTAAAGGTTACACGAGCCAGGTCGGTCGGATAATATTTAAAAGTCAGTATAAGGCATTGAGGGATTGATTGGGCTGGAGCTTCTAAATAAACATTAAATGAATGCACGAGGCCCTGTACAAGCAAGCATGTCAGTTTGTGTGTGAATATGTCAGAGGAAAGGCTGTCTTCCCATATGTGGTCCATGCCTGGCTGGTCTACTGTGACACAACTGAGCCCAGAGCAGGTCTAAACATATGAATATTTAACATGGGGTCAATGATCTCACAGACTGGTCCTCTAATTATTTAGCTTTTGTGTGAAGCAGACTGCATACTAATTGGCTCTTTACTTGTTTGTGCATGAGTGAGAGCTCTGGTGTGTGTGTGTGTGTGTGTGTGTGTGTGTGTGTGTGTGTGGTCCTTAAAATCCAGTAAAAGAAACGTGACCGGCCAACGAGTATGTGTTGTTTCCCCCCTTTGCGCACAGTGAACAAAACATCCGCTGTCATACTCCACACAGATAACTAGGTATTGCTTCCTCATAAAAGACCCTTATTTCACCCCTCTTTCAGAAGAGCAGCAACGGAGCCTTATCACCCACAACCACACCTAGGGGTCCGGGTTCCACACCGATACTGTAAATGTCAAGCCTGCCTCATCATAACATAAGTTATTTATTATCTCATTATTTGATAAGAATGTTTCTATTTGGATGTCTTTTCTATTCTATTCATTTTCTCCATAGTTAACATACTTAATCTACGCCGTTCTATTTATTTGATATGACCAGGCAGGTATTCACTTATTCAATGCAAATGTATGCAAACCTTTATCCCGCATCCCCATATTTGTACCGGCATGTCACTGCTTCCATCCAGCCTGATATCTTAATCCTGTCAAGAGGGAAAATCCCTTCAATTTACCTCGTATGCATAAAGCAACCTCCAAACAAATTTAATACTTAAAGGGTGGACGAGAAGAGGCTCAATGAAATGCGCGGTGGGGGGGGAAGAGTTAATTTGTCAGCCCGCTACGTCCTCCGAGCAAACAACACCACAAGCCCAAGCACTTCCTTGATGATTTCATCACTTTATAACAGGGAGGACAGTGTCAATCCTGGGCATTGTGTGGCCACTGCAAATGAGCCTAATACAATTTGCCCATCAGCAAATGCTCTTGGAGAGGATGAGTTTGGATGTGTCCCATGGACGGCAATTGGCAGTCATACAGTGTATGTCCGAAATGGAACACCAGGTGATGTAAAACAAGAGTGCCATTTACCAAAAAGGGATACAAGGGAGGATTTATGCAAAATAAATTCTTGATTTTCTGCCTTTTTATCATATTGCCATAGCCGACAGCTACCCCACATGGGTGGGGCCATAAAGTGTATTATCATCTAACTGTAAAATAGAGATTTCTTCCACTTATATAAATTATTTGACTCCCTAGGAACACAAATCTGATTAGGATTGTCTTTCAATTTCCTGACACTGACAACCCACTAACCTAATTACCCCCAATTCCCAACAGAGACTGATCCTTCCCAGCAAGACACAAGGAATAATCTGATGGCAACTATACCTGCACTTTACATGACAGCTTTCTTTTAACGCTACTCCAGTTAAGAAACACTGCAGATTTTTTTTAGCATTCAATCTCTGACTATGTCTTTGGAATTATTACAAAAAAAAAATCTATCTATCTATCTATCTATCTATCTATCTATCTATCTATCTATCTATCTATCTATCTATCTATCTATCTATCTATCTATCTATCTATCTCTATAAAAACTCCGCTTGCCACTGTTTATTACAGCCAATGCCACAGCCATGGAAAATTCCTCTCACGGTCCAATGTGATGTCACCACTTTCTACAGTTTCTTGCGGCTCACCCGATGAACTCCAATGCTGCCAGATGGCTGCACTCCCGTTCTCTATGATCCTTTCGACCAGTTGAGTCATGTGGCTATGTCAGCCGGTGGATGCAACGCCAGCATTTGAAGTTTGGTGGGTGCCTCTTTTAATTAGAACAGCCCTGGTCATAATTAACAGATGCTGACAGGAATTAAAACTTGGCACAATCCAGGCTCATTTTACTGTCCAAGAGGGTCAGAGATGGGACCCGGAGAGGAGCGGGACCATTAAAAGCAGCTCGGCCAGATTCAGTCACTCCCACTGCCAGGCACTATGACAGGACATGATAGGGGCCTTAGAGAGCTTCATATGTCCCCTTGGTGGCCCTCAGCTGTAAGTGGTCTGACGCTGCAGAGCTCTCTCCATAGTAAACAGTAGGTGTGTTATAAATGTGCGAAGAGGTTTAACTGCCACCTCATCTAAAGTCATCTCACTCTTTTATGGCCCGCCACACAGCGGAGCGAGGCGAGCAGAGGTTGAGCGCGGGTATCATCTCTTCAAAGCGGGGTGCTGGGGGAGAGGGCTTTTGGCCAAGGCGGCCGGCATTTGTGCACGGATTAGCACAGGATTTAGGATGGGGGCGGGGGCCAGCTGACCTGCGGCTCCTCTTTCTCTCCAAAAACAATAATAATCCCCTTCCAAGCACACTCCTACAAAAGAGCCTGTCTTCACTCACTTTGCGTGGACGGCCATGATAGGGGCCCTTATTTTGAGTCGCTCACCTGTTCTGTGTCTCTCTCCCTGGGGAAAGTGTCAGGATGTCTGGGATGGTTGGCAATGCCAAGCGGGGCTTAGGCAGAAGCTATTTTAGCTGGGAAAATCAGAAGGCCACATGGCAAGGCATGGTGAACCTCGCCTTTCAAGGAAGCCGCCCTGCTAAACTGCCGTCAGCACTATTTCCAAGGGCCCCCGATGCCAGCGCTGCATGCTCGTCCGAGTGCTGCAGCATTTTTAATCACGCGCGGTGATGAGAGAAGGAAGCAAACTGACCCCACCACATATTCAGACCCAAGGGGCTGCCACACTGACACCCTTGTCACGTAGTCCATTTACAGGTTAGCTCGACGTTCCCGGGTGTGCTGACATCCCTGCCCCTACCGCTGACTGAAATTACTGACTGGTACTTAACACACGTTACATTAATACAATAGCAGTAAAAATGAGTTATTGTGCATTAATAAGTCAGTCCATTAATAACTAAAAATTGTCAAATTATTGTTACCGCCACTCATATTTTTAATTTATGCAGCTGACGAATGACTCAACTACACTCAGTTATGTCACATGCATTAAAGATTTTAACGCATAAATCTAGGTCAACTTTCTAAACATTTATGGTCAACCAAGTTACTTTATGTACCATTAACATTTTTATTGACCCAGAGTCCACATTGTATTTGTACGATTTTTGTGCTGAAAGTTCTGCCTCTCATTAGTGGTATTGTCCCCCATTTCCTTTTGTGATGACTAAAGGGCTAAAATATGTTCTTGTAATTTTGATCATATAAAACAATACCTACGTTTCTTTGTTGTTCTGTGCAACTGTGCGCTATCAGACAAAATACACGGTGTCGATGTTGGATTGTACACCAGCAGAGACACTTCACATATCGAGGGGGTGCAAAGCAGTCTCCAAATGTCCTGTCACATACAGAATGGAATACCTCATCCGCAAGGGGTCGTCTTGCAGTTTTCTCGTATAAATGTCCTTTGTGCATGACAATCTCATGCATGGCCCCGAGCGAGTCAATTTCTGCTTCCGCAATGTCAAAGACTGTGAGTCTCAACCTTCCTGATATTAAAGGAAATGAGGGGAGCCACTTCGAATGGCCCCTTGTCCGCTGATTTCTATCTAACAACACTGCACAATGGCGGAAATGCCCCCTTATACCTGTGCACATCTTGAAAAATACCAAAAGAAGATTTAATTTTGTGCTAGACTTGCGCGAGGCATGAAAAAAGGGACCTATGTGTCAGTAGGACGGATCCTCAGCGTGTCGGTGCCCAAGTCAAATACTGTACAGAAACAGGCAGACAGACTTGGCTCCAAACTCTCGCCCTATTACAGAAATTAAACTCCTCAGAAAGAAAGATGGCCCACGGAGTGTTGTCTGGACTGATTTTGCCGACATGTGCAACATGCAAGGCACGCTGAACGAACTCGGAAGACCGTTTGTGTTCTAAAGCTACTTGTGATGAGCGAAAGAGGACGCCGTGCGTGCTGAATTATTTCATAAATTCAAAGTGCTACAGGTTAATTTGTGACACTTCAAACCTTTCACGTCAAATGGGGGTAAATTATTTTGTGATCAGTTCCATTTGACAAGGCATTGTTGATGAAGCCAAATATAGCACATAGCACTGGCCACACACTTGCTTCAGTCACCATGCTTCAGTCAAACCCTCCCCAAACCCCAAAATCATTTATTCTCCATCCTCCGGGAAATAGCCTGCTACCAAACACATAAATGGACAAACACACCCAACGATAAGACCCTATGGGGTTTCACTTTTTTTTCCACAAATTTAGCCTTGGTGGAGGTGTATGATACTAAACTTAGTAGCCTTCTAGTTATGTATGATTATGCTAACATTGCTTGAACAATCAACTTTTGGTGGACCATGACTTTTACCATGCTGGATTCACAGTACACAAAATGTTCAGTAGTTTTTTAAAAATGATAAATGTTTATGTTAAAATTTTCTCAAGTGTTTCAAAACGTTTTAAAAGCATTCCTCAATTTTATGCAAAGTATTTTAACTGTATCTTGAAATGTAATCTTTTTATTTAATATAAATACAATTTGAAGTTGTGTAGCTATCAGCTTTCATTGCACTGTGTTTTACTATTTTTTAAAATTTTTGCCATGCTATCATTTTAGTGTCAGTATCAAGGTACTACGTACGGTCAGCGTTTTGCTATCATGGTAACATTACAACCTGGTGCGTATTGGCATTTGTATGTGAGTAAGCGAGATGGAGAGGAAGTTGGTACAAAGAGCAACTGTCACTGAACGATGTCAATATAATCTCTCAATAGTATCTTGTCTTCTCCCTTGCTCTAAGCTCTGACCCGTTTTCATTGATCAGAGGAAAAACCTGTTGCCCCTGACATTTAATTCTTCTATTGATCACTTCCTCCTTTATACAGTGAGAGCAAAAGTACAGCTACTCAACAAAGGCTCTGAGCAGGTCTCCTTAAATTAAATTGCTGAAACCGTCTTCCTTTCCACCCTTGGGTATCGGAGACAAATATTGTACTCAAATAGGAATACTATTACTTTAAATTCATATTACTGATGAAAAAGCAAAACGAAGCAATCTAAATAATTACTTAAGTAAAAATAAGTATTCAGTGAACAAACTGCTCCAGTACTGAGTAACTGATGCATAACTTCTGATTTGTTTGCCAGTCAGAGTATGAACGTCAAATAGACAAAATATAAAATGGGAATTTACTCATTTAGATATCACCCAAACAAAATCCTGTTAAACTACTTGTAAAATAATACAGAAGTAAAACAATTTTAAATGAAGGCAAATTCAGCCACAAGAAATGGTCTTAACTTTCTTTGTTTAAACTTTGGGAAATAGCACAATAGGCTCATAAGGGAGAGATTACATAGCAAACTTCGACATCTTTTCTCAAGTTCGAAGTCGAGTGGAGGCTGAAATGTTGATATTTTTAGGCTGACAGATGACATTTGTAATGGCTTTTCTTTTTCATAGTCTGCAAGGTAAACATTGGCTGAACGTGTGTCAAGGGTGTTCTATTTCTTCTGAACACAACTTGCATTATTTTCTCAATTTTTTTTTGTGCCAAATTTTACATAAATTAGTCCCCGTGAAAACTTTGCTTTTGTGCGCTGCTGTGGTCTTTGTCATGTGACTGCCTGGAAAAATGCAGCCAAATGCCACCAGAGGTACTGTTTGTTGGATTGGTGTTATGTGACAGTACTCTTGCTGAACCACCACCACCACCACCCCCCTACTTCCCACATGCACACACACACATAAATTAGATTGCACAAGCAATAATAAATAGACACAAATGAAAGCAAGCAGAATGTAGCTCAATGTAACAGAGAAAAAGCAGTGTTTCCTCGAGGGATGTCCCGACCTGTTCACGTGATCGGAAATCAGATGTGATCTGGGGGCTTTCAGCTGATAGGGGGTTTGGGGCAAATTGATTTTCTTCATTTTATGGAATTTTATAGGGCACAAAGAGACCAAATAATCCAAATATATTCATATCTTGTCAAATGGAGCAGTAATAGCTCATTTTAATATTACCCAATGTTACATTTTGTTTTTTGGGGTGGGGAGAGGTCAGAGTGGCTGTAAGAGACATACACGCATGCACACACACGCACACGCACACACGCACACACACACACACACACACACACACACACACACACACACACACACGGGCAAGTCTGCCCATAAGCAGTGCACTTCCCCCAGCGCTAGGGCAGAAAGTAAATTGTTTGGAGCAACAAGGAGACACAAAAGATGTGTAAACAGGGTAAGTAAAAAAAAAAAAGAAAAAGGAAAAAAGGAAAAAAAAACTGAAATAGCCTAATCCTGCCTTACCTGATATAAAGCATCTTACTTAAAGGCACAAGAGCTAAGGGAGGGACAGTCGGGTTTGGAATTGTGACATATCTAAATGACTTAACCTCAAATAGAAGTTTTACAAGAGTAAAATATTTGGTGACAAGGAAGCCTACTCCCCACTGGGTGCTTTAAACGAGGTCGTAAATAAATAGTTTCTTTTGTCGATGAGCGAAGTCACAGATGTAACCACGAACAACATACAGTAGCTGTGTGGACATTTTAGCCAGCACATACAAGCGAATATTAATATAAATGTATTGCTTACTATTAGATAAATCAAATGCACTGAGACAGAGGAATCCCTCATTCTATGTTAATGGTAATACGTACAGGCTAGTCCAGAAATTGATGACATTTGCATCTCAAGGAAATAAAATGTATATATAAAACCTCTTGCACATTGATTTATATTGTGATTAATGCATGCTATTAATATAAATATATTGTCAATAGATAAAGTGGTTACTAATTGAATGCTCAAAATCCATGAACAGTTTCAGTACAGAAAACAATGACCTCAAATAAATGTCTGAAATTGACCAATACACATTATGAATTGTTCAATGCTCTAAAAAAGAAAAAGAAGAAAGAAAGATTTTTTTTTTGAGAGTGAAAGCGATTGGCACTTGTTTGCTGGATTGGCCCATTCAATATAAATGTAAATATATAAAAGAGCATATATAGACATTTGTGTAAATGATGACATGTACATTTCCAGATTAATTCGAGACCATTTTTATGTGCATTTATTTTTTTCATGTATTGGATCTGGACTCCGACTTGGACTCGAGTGCGACCTAAGATAAGGCATGAACTGGACCTTTTAATGCGAGTGAGAACAACCTTAATTTTATTTTGATGCCGCAAATTTGTATTGCTTTTGTGTTTCTTCCTTAGACGGTCATGAGCTAGTGCTGCATCTTTGTTAGAGCAGTAAAGTTATAATTAGGTGGTTTTCCATTGGCACACAATGTGACCTTTCTGCCGTAATGAAAGTAAGTGGCAACCACAGTCACATGAGTGGTAGCCGTTTCCACACTCGGACCTGAGCACGGCGTTGAGCTGAAGGCTTCATTGAGCTTACAGCGGGCGACTGACCACGTGTCTTTATTTCCATTTCGTTTCTGTGACACTTTTAAGCGGGCAGACCTGAAAGCAAGTCTTACGTACGTAAAAATGATGTGACATCTCTTCGCTGATGATGGCATTGACTTTGCGCTTTCCATTGTGCAAAAAAGATCTGTGACAATAATCGATGCAGTCCCATGACAGATGTAAATGTGTCATTCTTAATCCACGATTGTGGCGGATGCGCAGAAGTTGCAGTTAAAACCTTTGGCTAAGTCGAAGTCGGCATATTTGCGTTTTACACTCCTTTTACCTGACACTGGTCATTCATCTATAGCCATGACTACATATTTTTGTAGTCTCATACTCTCCAAGATGATATATTGGCATAAATTTTTCATCAGATAGTAATGCGATTACTCTGTCTTTCTGGCACTAAGGCTTTATCTGGCTGCATGCAGTCCAGGGGATTTGGTTTCTGCGCAGAGATCCATATAGGTTATGACTCTGGCTTCAGGTGGCGGCTGGATATATATGCATCTATAAATCCCTCTCTTCGGTGAATAATGGGAGGAATAATGTCAGAATATATACAGTGTAAGTTTGCCAGAGAACGTAAAAGTCGGCAATTTTATGCAGAATTGTACCTTTTAGGGCTTCGATCTGGAAGACTATTTAAGATGCTGAATAACCATGAGGGACAATCTGACTCAAAAGTGTCTCCTGGACTATTTACTCAAAAAAAGTAATGCGACAAAAACACCCAATGACAAATTAAACTGTTTCTATCACAAGAGAATTTGACATAATGTACCCAACAGTGGCGCTTTAATCCAAAGCTACCCATTTTGAATTATTTTATACCCATTCAGAATTATTTTAGACTTTATGTTAATTGTTTTTTTTTTGTTTTTTTTTTTAATAGGAGCAGCCAAGCAATAAAAGGAGACACACAAAAAGAGCACATCCATTACTCAGGCATTGGAGTAAGAGAGAACAGAAACTGTAGGTGCTTCTCAGAATGCCTCAATTTGGAGTCTCATGGGGCTCCTCGAGGTTAGGGAGAGGGGAAAACCCAGCAAGACCATTCCATCCAAAACATGTTTAATTGTCAGGGAATTCTCATGTGGCATTCCCTGGAAGAGTCCCGAGATGTTCAGAAAACATTTAGGAGATCAATATGCCGGGGACAGCCGACACTGTGCCAAGTGAGCACATTTTACAGATGGAATACTATTACATTTCCTTTACTCACATGGTCAAATGACACTACTCAGCATATTTTTATTTCATCTTTTTTTTTTTTTTGGCCTCAGCTAGACTGACCAGTATTTACTGCTGTCTAGGTGAAGCAAGGAATTAACTTGCAGGAGTTACGTTTGTATTTGTTGGCAGAAAAAAATCTCTGGCTTATTCCTGAGCCAAGATGGAAAAAGTAACTTTACACCGAGTGTTTAGCGCTGCAAAATGTTCCCATCGTCACTTACTGTAAATCATTGGTGGTTGCAAATATGTCATATGTTCAAAGGTAACAACTAAACAGCGCAGTGTTTTTAAATGTATGGGTGCAAGAAGGAAAAAAAATGCTCTTACTCTTCTTACCTTCTTTCAGCATCCCCACTTTGAGGCATTTCATGAAGCGACAAGCCTGACATGATTTGCGTCTCCGTTTTGTGATCTCACACTCATTTGTGGCAGGACAGCTGTATTCAATGTTGCCTAAGAAAAGGAATACATTCGATTCATTAATCAAGTGACGTTGGATTTTGAATAAAGCATAAAAGGCACAGTTATGTGATCCATGCAAGGCATACTTTGTACTTTTTCAGATTATTTTAAGTGTTGATAAGGTCAATCAGAGCAGGGGTGCGGGAGCTACGGCCCGCCAAACTTTGACATTTTGGGCATGGCCACCTTCCTTTGAACCCTTATATCTCAGGGACTACTGGGTCAATTTTCACAGAACAGGTATTGTTGGAAAGTGCATTCAACAAGGATTCAAAATTTGCAACCATTTAACACATTTTTTTAGGAAGTGATTAACCCGCATTTCTTAGTAAGTTTACCTTTTGACCTATAAAAATTGACAGGACGTAGCTTCCAAACCAATGCTCCGATTGACCTAAAATCTGAGATTTTGTGTTGTGCCATTATGATCAAAAATACAGCAAGTTTTATTATCATCCAGTTGGTTTGATACACTGGATGATTTGGCATGGAATGACCTGAAAGCATTGTTGGGTCAGGTGTCATCCAGCAAAAAAAACCAAAAAAAAAACAACAACTTGGTGCTGGGACCCAAAGGAGAGCGCTCATTCCTGAGTGGTAAAGAGAGGAAAAACTACAGTGGTCTTCAAGGGTGGATACAACCCTGTTCCTACCCTAAATTGGCCTTGTTAATTCTGTGCATGGCCCCAGGTGCAGGCCATGTCCTCCTGTGCTCAGAGGGGCCTGCCACTGTTCCAATAGCAGGCTTGATGAACCAAACGTGCTGCCCCTAACCAATTTACATAATACTCCTGCAGAGCCAAACCTGTTCTTACTACAATTGCCTTTGTTGATGATTTATATACTTGACAGGCAAAAGGTCTTATACATTATTCAATTTCAGCACATGATTCAAGGATAGCGCTACGAAAAAGAGTTTCATTGCTACAATAAAAAAAAAAAAAACAACAAAAGCAAAACAGTTGTGCTCAGCTCTAACATGAACAGCAGGACATCCTTTGCATCCATCTCATTCCCTATATTTTAGTGAACTCCCAAGGATTTTCAATAAAGGGTTTCATTCTATTACAGTCTCTTCATTTCAACTGGGATTTCACTTTCAAAGCTTTTGACATTGGCCGTACAACTATTCCATTCAGTTTCATTGTCTCAAGCAAATACCAAATACTTTAGAAATACCTTAACCACTGTAATGGCATTTACAGCGCTTCTTATTCATTTCAATACACATTATCATTTGTAAATGAAAAAGATTTTATGAATATATAGAATACATACAATACATCTTTATTCATATAGCGCTTTCACAACAGCTGCAGCTGGAACAAAGCGCATTCAGAGCAGTATGTTATGGTATATTTTACTTTGTATTTTTCACAGTGAACGTTCAACAATTAATGCCAACCACCCGCACACACACACACACACACACACACACACACACACACACACACACACACACACACACACACACACACACACACACACTGCTAGCAGCGCTGCCCCTCACTTGCCATACAGGGCACCCGCTAGCTATGTAATATTCCGCTGGTGTTCCTCCACTGGCCCTCCAAGAGCCTTTGACAACTTATGCAATTATGTTAACATTATTGGACAGATCAAGTCGGGGGTCCCAAGATGTTATAAATAATTAGAAATTCCTCCTTATATCTGGGTTAGAAATCATTATGCTAATTCTACTCATCTCTTTGGGATTGAGGATAAATAAAGGTGTGAGGCAAACGGCTGATGAGCTCTGATTGTCTTCCCTCGCTCTGTTTTCTCTGTTGTCATAGCAGAACCAGACCATAATCATCCTTTTCATTTTCACACATGCCAGGAGGAGGCAATCAGGAACCAATTCCTTTTCTTTTTTCTTTTTGTATTTCTGTCATAATTAATCAGCTAATCTTTGTTGATGAAGCATTGAAACATTTACTTTGTAAAACCCAGGGGTGTTTTGTGAAAAATTAGTAGCGCATGTATTTCTTCAAAAATAGAATGAACACAATTGAAAGGATACAGCAAGGTCCCGCTATTGGTCACAAAATGTGAAAGCTGATTCAGTGATTGTGTTTATTTGGTAGCTAACGTGGCCAAGACCATCTATTTTCATATTCATTTCATGTCATCATGAAAATGCAGCCAATTGACCCTGTGCGTCCCTGAGGGCATTTTAGCGTTCAGTTTTTTTTTTTTTTTTTGGCTCCTACCCCTCCTTCCCTTTGTCAGGGTTTAAGTGAACGCGTGTGCAAACTGCACCTGGTGGTTTACTAAAAGAGCTACAGTGCTTTGATATCAGACTCTCTAGAAATAAAAACAAGCATGCACTCTCACACACTTGGGCCACGGCATACACATGTTCTGTCAAGCCCTGTGTGCACCTGATATTCTGTCAAAGACGTTTCTGATACATCAGTGATGGAGTCGGGCAACTTAAGTCATTTTCCTTTTCTACATTTCCTTGCCTTATTTACCCATGGTATATAAAGAAGTAAATAGAATGCAGTATTTGGCTGTTATTCAGTCTCAACTAGTTTGCATTCCAAAGAAGTGCAAGATGAAATCAGCCAAGGCCCGCCGCACAACAAGCAACATGGTTGAATGTGACTGAAGCGGACCACTATGAAACAGTCACTGAATCCACCGCACACCAAGCCATTAATCACTGCACCACTACCGACGCGCTGCAGTGGAAAAATTGCAACAGTGTTTTGAATTTTGAGACTCCAAAAACCCTGTATAAATATTGTATTGTTAATGTTTTTAATGAACCGCAAAAACATGGCGGGATTATCAAGGATGAAGCAGATTGCCACAACGAGGAGAAACTGCAACAATAAAGGAGACTAAAGATATTTTCTGAGGTGTTTGGCAATAATTGATAAGTAGATTTACTGAATGCACCTGTGCATTTGGGCAACGCTCTCCTTGCTTTGCTGTCTATTCACAGGTAGACAGGAAATATATACAATATATACAGCATGTCAGTCATGAGCTTAAACAGTGACACACACGATATGACACTTTATGACAATTTCACCAATAGGAATGAAGCATTCTGGCTATTCTATGCCCAAGGACCATGAACATGTTTATCCGAATTGAAGAGGTTATTGGTTCCCTTTTCCTTCTCTTGATAAGTATCTCTCAATCTATTTTATGGCTTTTCAGGACCCATGCCAGGACACAGAGGGGAAAGTCAGGTCTTGTAAGTAAATTACAGTAAAATGGCAGGTATTTCTCATCAAAATCTAGACTGACTTTTACAGGCGTACTGTCAAGGTCTATTACTTCATATATAAAAAAAGGGTCGCTGAGTTCAGTTAGTTTTCAACCAGTTTTACACTTGGGATCAAAATGGGAAGAAAACATGCTTCAAAAGGTGATATATGCTTTTGATTGCAGGGGCACGTGAAATGCCGGGATGGTTGTGTGATTCGAAGAGCCCAGAGAATAGAGGGACTTCTGGGATGGATGGGGATGTAGACTGACATAAATCTGGACCTGGCCTTGATTTATGGCCTTGATTTTGAATATAAATTTATCAATGTACGAGTTCAAGAGGATGGATGTGGTAAACGTAAAAAGGCAGGCGTGATGAGGTGAGGTGATGTAATTAGAAAAGGGATAAATGGGGGAAAAATAAAGTACAGTAAGTGCTTAGATGGATAATGAGCAGGTGAGATTGACGCTGGCACAGATTTAATTGATCAGGTGAATCATGTTGCCTAAAAAAAACCCAATAAACATCTATATGATGCGGTACTCCTCTTCATAATGACAAACTACAACCACAATAAAAATAATATTGTTAAATAAATATCTCTCTGATGGTGCCACTAAAAATGATTAAAAAAAAAAACATTTTGGACTATTGTATTGTTCGGGTGTATCTAAAGCTTTGGCTGGTGTGTGTGTGTGTGTGTGTGTGTGTGTGCGTGCGTGCGTGCGTGCATGTGCAGAAATAAAGCACGACATTTATGTTTACATATTGCGAACCGCATACATTCTGAAGATTTTGTAATCAAGGTGAGTCCAAGGTGATTAAAAAAACAAGCCGTCCGGATGGTAGTTACTACAAATTTACCATGCTATTTGCCCTAGGTGTGATAGGACAGTGTGATAAAGAGCTAGAAAGGAAAATGTCTTTGTTTTCTTCTCATTAGCAAGGACCGTCTCACATTCCAACCTTGACTGCCTCGTTATTCCTTTAATTTATCAGTTCTCCTCAACGTCACCTCCTCTCAAATGTTCTACATCCCACAATTTACTGTTTCTATGTTACTCCGCCTAAACTGCATGTGTTTCTATTATCATTTTGGTGGGCTTTCACCTCCCCCAAAAAGTCCCAGCCTTCTCTGCCCGGGACCCCTGTCTGATTATTATGCCATTAAGCCTCTCCTCCTCTCATGTGAAAGAGCAGCAGAGTCCCTCTTCAATCTAAAGAAGTCCAGGGTTTTCTTCCCCTCCTTTCCCTGAAATTACCCGGCGACGCGTGCCTGAGTTTCTAATTGGCATGCCCGTCCCTGGAGACGGCCCCCTCCCTTCTTCCTAATGAAAAGCCTCGGCCTTAATTACACTTTCCAAACGCTGATTGTTATTGACAAAACTCCTGTGGCTCGGACAAACGACGGCAGATTAGCTCCATTACAGGCAGCCCTCCAAGAAGGGAAAGAGAGGGATTTCAAATCGACAATGCAAAGTGGGGGGGGTCGGAGGGGAGGGGAGGGTCGGAGCTTTCAATTTCTTTCTCCATGTACCTTCCTCTTAATTGTTTAGGCCCGTGCTTCACTTAAGACATCTCCTTCTTCTCTGATGCCTCTTTTCTGTTCCATTGTGTGACTTGAAGCGAGGGAACAAAAGCCCAGTTATGCTACTTGCGAGAAAATGTTCATCTTTGTCAATAGACAGGATTGCTGATGGCAGCAATGGTAAACATGCGGATTTGGCCTAATGCTTTTGTTTGTCTGAAAAAAGGTACATAGTCT